AGCGAGGAAATACAATGGCCGCTTACAACAAAAAATTCGGAGTCAAACGGGCGTGGTTTGCATTCCGCACAGCCAATCAGACGTAGGAACTACTTTCTCCCACAACAGACCCTGCTCTGTAGCAGGGACTGAAAAGCGAGTCTCGCGAAATAAGTTGAGCTACTTTAGTTCCTGGGGCTTTTTGGTGTGAACGCAAATATATCGTAGTTCTGATGAACTATTGTGGGAAAAGTACACCAAAGTACTCCGGTGTGAACGCACCTATACAGAATTGTACATTTTCCTGATGTCCCCTAAGGCAGCATTGGTTCCCCCTCTGAACCTCAGGAGGACAGCACGTATCTGGTTAAGGACGTCTGGCCCTTTCATCAGCAAGTCGTTCATGCTGGTGCCTCTGAACTTTTGACTGCTGTTCCAGACGAGTCTTACTGGGGTTGTTGTAGAGTGTGGGTTTGGTGCAATAAGGTGACTCACGAACCATACTGGTCCTTTCCAGGTCATGATCTGCTCTTTAGTCAACTTGATTGCAGCTCCTTTGTCGACCATGTCATGCACTTGAGCTTTGTAGGCAGACTTCCACTCTGGTGCTTTGGCTAGCTGCTTCTCTGTTCTTAGGAATGTTGCTTCAACTGCACCTCTGTTGTTCGGCAGTGAAAAACCGGGGCTGTAAGCTGGAACAGTGAAAACAGTGACCTGGAAAAAGATAAAAAACCACCCTGCAAACAGTCAGTGGACCCAAATCCAACATGGCTGATCAAACAGTCAGGAAAACAGTTGAGCAGCTCAAAAATGAGCGGACTGCTGCAAAACGATCCTTCACACGACTAGCTAACAGTATCATCAGAACTCACGACGGCATGTCAGAAGACCAGCTCCAATATAGCTTCAATAAACTCTCCATGGGAGCCGACAAAGTCATGGAAACCAATGACGAAGTCATGGCAGAGGTCATTGCAGTGAAGGAGGCAGAGCTGAAAGAGGAGGAGTCAGTCGAACTAACCGAACAGCAAGAAGCCGACATAGCAAGGACCACAAATGAATGTGAATTAAAGCTGAAGGAGGTTGGAGAGCTACTTAGAGACATGCATTGGCAAAAGTTTGGAGATGAACTGTGCACAGCTGTAGAACTAGCAGAAGCTGAGTGTGAGCGTGTATTCTCATGAATATTAAACACAACAACCTCTGAACATTACAAATATTCGCCTCAATTCAACCTGGAACCTCTCTCATACAATAATACAATACAAAGTGTGTGTGTGTGTGTGTGTGTGTGTGTGTGAGAATGTGGAGACACAGTGATGGATCGTTGGACCTATGTGCAGCTCAAGGCATATATGCTCCAACGGGAGCTGCCTGGACGCTGCAATCATGTTGCGCGCACTATCCGTGCTGAGTGTGCTGACTTTTCGTACAATGTCCCACTGTCTGGCTACCTGCATAAAGTCAAGTGCTTGGCGCAGTTGTCGGCGAAATGTCGCTCCTCTGTTTTCATTGAAACAGCTCCTTATATCCGTTAGCGCAGCTAGCTAGCACCAGATGCTAACAACAACAACAACACGTAAGGTGTGCCTCGCTCACGCCACACATACACACACGCTCCCGGTCCTCCCGATGGCCAGTCCGGGCCTGCCGGTGAGCGTGGAAGTGTGGTCTGCCACAAGCGGGCGGCAAGAGCGGGGCTGTCAGCATCAGCTTGTAGATGGTATTTTAAACTCGATGCGCTCTGAAACTACGGGGCGGCCGAGGACAAAAAATACACATGCGTTAATCGCGTTAAAATAATTAGTGGCGTTAATTTTTTTGTTGTTGCCGTTATTAACGCGTTAACTTGACAGCCCTAAAAAGTACATAACGATTGATGTGCAATTTAGCATAATTACTAGCTAGCCGCTAGCTGCTAACTGCAGCGGCCGCCTCGTTAATATCAAATCCATAATAACAATCCAGTACCATGCTGTCATGAACGTGCGGTGCTGTTACGTGTACGCAAATTGACGTGCTTGATGTGAACGAGCCTTTTGGGGGGCGTGGTTAAAGTTGCGCATGCGCTATGAGCGCACATACGGGTACTTCTCAGGCATGACGGGTAATCTGTGACGTTTCGCTCTCTCAAAAGTTGGGCCATTTTGTCTTCATGCGCCAATGAGCAGCTCTCATAGGAATGAATGAGGCCCCGCCTCCCACGCTGTATCCAGTTCTTATTATACATCCATGGTCGGAGACAGCAGTTTCAGGACCGCACTCCTAGGACCCTAGTTGTTTTGTAACATCGCCACCTAGCGAATTGGATGCCCGCAAAAGTACAACCAGCGAGTATTGAGTCTCATACACAGCGATATTACATTAACTAATTTGAACAGTCATCATCTCATAACAAAATAAGCTAATGCAACTACTTGCATTCAGTGACTTGATTTTTAAAATGAAAACCAGGGACATTTTTTGTTTTGCGGACCATATCTCATTAAAATATCTAATGTTAGTAACTATTAAAGAAAAAATGGGGACAATTCAATGTAGTTTGACCATTGTAACTGCTGTGCAGACATACTGATCAAATAGGGCTTCTATAATTACCTTAAATAAACTCAGTAATTAATTAAACCAGTTCAATACGCATTATTCTTATTCTTATTCTTATTCTTATCATTCTTTATGAGCGCAGTAACGGTAAGGTATCTAATTACTTATTTATTTAGTATTCCATAACTTAATAACAGAGATGGTCAAATTAAAGTAGAGACATGGCAGACATCCTACAATGAAGCGGGCAGTGAAGTGTTCTCCTGTGAGAGGGCGATCAAGAAAAGAGAGAGAGCGGCCCCACTATTGGAGTTGAGGGAGTTTACGGAGCAGATGAAAAGAAGACACAGAAAGACAGAAGCACAATAACAAGTATATCTAGGTGTTTTTTTTGTAAATAACCGACGGTGTCAAGAGGAAGTAAAGTCCCTGCCATGAGAAAACTCAAAATCCATTTTCCAAAATCCGACACTAGACTCTAGAGGTGGTCTTAACGCACCGGCACCAATACAGTAGCCTATAATACATATTATATATATAATACGTAACATGTGTAACCACACACTTAGCGATATAGAGCATACATAATAAAAACGTAGGCCTACCTGGTTTAAAACACTTTTGTGGTCATACTGTGGAATGAGTTCACACTGAAACGAGTTCTTCATTCAAAATTTTGCGGGCAATTACATGTAAGAAGAAGGAGAAGAAGAAGTCAAATAAGTAGTAGAAGAAGAATGAAGCTGGTGTGTTTCCCGCAGCGAGACACTACAATACTAATTGTGGGCTTATCATGTTGATTCGACCACAACAGAAAGAAAAAAAAAATCTCTCGCTCTCTCCAGAGGGGCAGGTCAGCCAAAAAGGGAAAACGGGCCGTTGCCCGGGCAACAATAGCCGTACCTGTGCACGTCCCTGCATGTATATATATATACATATACAGTTTAGTTTATGATTCAGCCTTGGGTAAGACTTTTATAGTCTATGGATATGACGCCCATAATGCTAAATGGGAGCAAATGTTAAAAGGGGACCCAATTATTCCAGTGGTGGCCGCCGGCGGCGGAGTCCGGCGTTATAACTGATCAAGGAATGCAGCGAAACGCGGACTTGGTTCGCCTGCAGCCCGCTGTAGTATTAGCTAAATAAATTATGTTGAACAAGGCTTATTAAGCTGAACATCGCCACAATTGTTCTGCTATGTATCGGTACTTATTTAATTTTTATTAGCATGTGATGAAGCATTAAGAATAACAAAAAATAGCAAATTCTCTTGCAGATTGTCTCGTTTGATTATGAATGTAACGTTTATATAGTGGAACTACACTGTTTTATCAAAACCAAAGTGCCACGCAGTAACTTGGTATGCATGTATTTCATGTTAGCTTAGCTTCTTAGCTTGAGCTAGCTCTGGAACTTCCAGCTCGGTGGCAGCAGGTCCCGCCTCGGCTCCGCCTCTTTGCCCTTATTTGGATCAGGCTGGAGCAGGCGGGAGTTAGACTCTGACGTCACTGTCGAGACGTTAGTGGCCGACTCCGCCTACTAAGGGCTACTCGGCAACTCTGCAGAATCCTATGGGTGACGTCACTGACACTACGTCCATTTATATATACAGTCTATGCTCTCAACATGCCCAGACTTGTAGTGATTTTCTCCTCGTTTAATACTTTTCGTGAAATGTGCTAACGTGACAGCCGTCTTGGTGTGTTGTGCGATACGGGAGATGTAGTTCATTGAGCGGTTTCACACAAAAAAAAGTGTTACTTCACAGTTTTACGACACATTTCTATTTTTTTGACTTGCAAAATTTATTTTAAATTGACAAACATCATATATGTAATTCGTGGCCCAATTCAAACGGGATCGAAAGATAATCTTTCTCTCGCCATACATACTTTTTCCGAAATAAGGTCCCATGGAGGTCCCCCGGAAAGGGAGGGACTTCGGCTCTCTATAGGGGCTTGTGCCGCGGTGAATTTTGGGAGAGGAAGCTCGCCCAAAGATCGTCTTTTGAGCAGAGCTACCACTAGGCTTTCCTCCTCTTAACAACAAAACATTTCGCAGAACTCCAATAATTTCTCCAAATACAATTACGCTACATTTGAAATAACATTTAGCATTCAGTACTTTCTTAAAAATATGATGTGATTGATGCTGATTAATAGTATTTGAATAACTCACCGTATTGACTTTTTCTTTCACTGATAGAATATGCAGAGCATTCTGACGCTTTGCTCTACATTTGACCTACCTGGGCCTACTGTTATTTTCTTTGAATTTCTGATAACTTCTGTATATGTATCAGAAAATGTTATATTGACGAGGGAATGTAATATTATAAATGAAACATGCTTTTCAAAATATTAAAAATAAGATGTTATTACTCAACATTCGGCTAATGTTTCTTAGAATCAAAGCATTGTGTCACAGAATGGAAGATAAAGGAAACTTTTTCTAGCTTTATTTCAGATCTTGTTTGTTACTGAGTATGAGAAAAAGGAAATAAAGAAGCCAAAGGTCAAAGCCACTGAAGATGGCAAAGACTAACATGTTGGGATAAAAACGTTTTCAAGAGTTCTATACCAAGAAATATTATGGTTGATGGTCGCAAAAATCAGGCAGTGTTGGTCTTACATTTTTCGCAGACAGGTCCCCTACCACCTACTTAAAAAAACCTCAACATTGTTGTTTATAAAGACTAGTACAAGTAACATTTACTTCAGGATGCTTTAGTATCTTCTTAAAGCAATTAAGCACTTGTAGTCACAACAAGACTAACTAGACTTAAAATCTAAATATTAGATTAGAGTAAGGTCTGCAGTTTCTGCAGTGTGGGTAATGTAGTCAGAAGGTCATCACAGCTGGAACAGTTGAGGTGTAGTTTGAAGAGTGCACATTCCTGAAAGGGAACATTTACTTTTAGCTCAAATGTCTTTAGACGTTTTAGTAAAGCTAATTTACGCATACACACATACTTTTAATGCAACAACAACAGCAGCATTGCTAACTGACAATAACATTGACATATAAGACATTAAGACATTAAGCCTTCTTGAGAAAATGGGAACGCACAAATTATGGTATGGAAACAGATGTTGCCTCTACAGGAGGTTGTTGGTTCTCATTTAGGGTGAAAATGTAATGTGGCTTCATTTACTACACTTTTAAAAGTGATTGATATATTTTGTAGTTGCTCCCATCCTGGGTTAGGATTAGGGTTAGGTCATTTGACATCATTCTGCATATTGACACGTTCTTCAGTTTGTTGCAGGCAGCATGTGTAAATGGGCATTTGTATCGGGATTATGGGCTGTTTGTTTCAGCCAAGGGGACTATTTTCTTACAAACAGGGTTATGGAATAATGGCATTGCACCAAGAGTTGACCCTATGTGGACTTCCTTTCTCTTTAGTTGCTTACATTTGTAACAGAAGACACACAAAGTAACAGACCACCAGGTGAACATGGTGAAGCATTTAGCAGCAAGTTAAGGACCTATTCATCGTATGGACACAAACACTATGCTACAGGTCATGCCTGTCTGCTGGATGTGGAAAATAAAGTGGAAGCTTTTTGCCAAATTTAAAGGTCAGCTATTATGCAAAATCCACGTTTTCATGTATTTTATACATAGTGTCCCCTCTGTGTAAAGAGATTCTGAAAGTTTCAGGAACAAAGATTCTCTCTCTTTTTGTCCTGATCCATTTATATAAAAACCTGTCTGAAAATGAGCTGATCAGATTTTGGCCACTTTATGATGTCATAACGATTTTTTGGCTTGTGTAACCATTAGCCAATAACCAACCAAGGTAACCCCCCTCCCCCCCCCCCCCCCACCTTATCACCTGAATCTCCTCCTAGAGCACCATTGAGTTCTTTTTAACCAAATATCTCTCAGAGGGGCGTGGGGAGTGGCTCCTTATTTTCATCTAAAGTAACAGACAGAGAATCAGCACTTTTGAAACAGGGCTGAAACAGAGGGGTTTATGGGATGCTGCAATGCATGATCTGTTTGGTATTTCAGCCAAACACTTCAGAGACCTGTTTTGTTTATATCTGAGAACTATAATATATTGATGAAAAACAGTATAATAGGGGGCCTTTAATGTCATAAGCTGATGTTCTGTTAAAGGCCTGTTTCTGCTACTTCAAATGAGTCAAAAGAGGAAATCTCAGTAAATGCAGCAGAAAAGATTACTACTCAAATTAGACAGTTGAGATGATTTGTGGCACCTGAAAGCATTCCAAGTGAAAAAGAATAAAGGCAAGAAGAAGAATAGAGGTAGGGGTCAAACCTGTTCACATTGACAGAGATGATACTCTTGACAGGTATGCTCTTGGGACCAGGAGCCGGATAGAACACTGGCTCCTGAACAGCTTTTTTGGATCGGCGGAGGGCGTATGGATCAGCAGAATGCATGGGGTAGGAGCCAAACGTCCCTGCTTTCATTCCTCCAATCTGACACAAGATAGAGCCACACAAATACACAGATACATGTGAAAAAGTTAAATATACAACAGATATATCGCGGGTTAAAGAATGGCCACTTGGCCAGAAACAGTTTTTTCCCTCTGACCCTGCAGTGGTGCAGCAGACGGAGGAATTACCTTTTTGTTGGGGGACGGGGGCTTGAAGGGGACTACAGAAATCTTCTGGTCAGATGGGAGGGGCTTGTTTGCGGGTGGGAGGGGCTTGTCACTGCGGTATGGGTTGCCTTGGAAATAATCTCTTGGATGGAGGTTGAGTCTGAAGGGGCCATCTTTTAACTTGGAGTGATGGATTGCTGCCTCCTTCTGTATCATACACAAACACATTAACATTTATTCGTAACTCTAGGTTCAAAATATATGTCTAAATTAATGTAAGTAGTTCTTATTAAAGCAAATGTTTATAATAAAATGGTAAAAATGCGTAATTCACCGTAATGTCTTTACGAAGGATTTCTATGAAATAGTTTAACTTTGTCACCATCCAGTTTTAATGAAGCTTTTCTTTCAAAGCGTAAACTGCTCCACATGGGAGGTTTACAGACAATAATAAAACGGGTGTCGATGGTACACATTAGGATGGTCGACATGGCCACAACTTTATATATGTATGTCATTTTATAGGGTATATGTCACCTGGGGAGCTAACTGTCGCTAAAGCAGGAAAAGAAACAAAAATGATACAAACTTTTTTTGACAGATTTGCTACCTTGTCCAATAAAAAAGGGATAAGTTAGAAACAAATAAGACAAATGTCCTTGAGCATTTTGTACAACTGACTACAGTAAAGGCAAACTTAATAAACCTGCCAAATAATTGTTCTAACCTCCTGACTTATTTACCACCATATCTGATCAGCTGATTGTCTAGTTTGTTGCCCCCTCTGACTTCTTTATAGAAAGTTGTTGTGTTACCACATCCATCAATGTCAGTACTTTGGTGAATATGGTATTATAATAACCAAGATAAATAATTTCCGAAACTAAAAAGTAATATAAGGCCCAAAGGTATAACATAGTAATCCAGAATTATTTTAAAAGCGTTACCTTCAGAACTTCTCTGGTTCTGCTGTACGGGTCGGACGCATACAACTCAATTCTGGACAGAGTCACATTGGGATAGCTGCAGGAGAAGTGATAGGTTAGCCATAGCATCCTTAGAACTGTTCGTATACTAATTTTCAATCAAATATGTTTGAGTTGACGGTTTATACGAAAAGAAAAGGACACACTGTAGTATCTTAGTTGTTCCAGAGTATACAGAAAACAATAAGTTACATTATGCTGTGCTTATGAAAGAGTTCTTGCCATAAACCTGTAACCACTGCCTTTCTTGGAGGGGGAGGTGACGATGTTGCGTCCAGGAGAGCGGTGGGCTTTCTGTGTGACTGACAGCGGACTCATGGCCTCCAGCGGTCCTGACAGAGTCCCGTAGTAACTGCCTGACCCACAGCTGGAGGGAGACGATACGACCGTGAGAGGACTCATGCATGTATATGTGTGTGTTATTGTCTGTGTGTGTGTGTAATCTCTCACGGCTGTGTGACCCTGTTACAGGGCAGGAAGGCCTTGCCCAGGTTCTTGTTGTTCTGCTGGTTGCGGTTCTGTCGAGCCAGTCTCACAGGGTCACTCAGAGCTTCTCGCTCAAATATCCGTTTGAAGGACTGATCGAAGAAGCCGTTCTGTAGAGCACATCGCTGTTTAGAAACCCCCGCCAGCATCTGTCTGCTGCGGTGGGCCGACTCATTAAAAGGACCTGGATTTCAGATGAAAGACATCACAGATCTACATGTACCCTTGTGTCTTTAGAGATGCAAATATACATATGAATATAACTTTGCTACAACGTAGGTAGCGGTGTTCATGTTGTATCACAATTGAAAGGTTGGTAAGTTCACGCAACACAGCCTTACAAAAAACGTGTAATAGCTACTGTGGTTCACAGGGCAAAACGTAGAAGCCCCCCAACCGGGGTCACACATGTTCACATCAATCAGTTATACTGTATTCGTTTCAGTATTATTAGACCTGGTATGAGCAGCAACCCAAGCTTTTTTCCAATCTGAAACGTCAGTCTGCAGGCTGTCCTTCCATGCATATGTGAATTCTCAAATTAGAAAGATGAGAGCATATTGTAAAACTCTCATATGATACCCTTTCTCAGGCTGTCCTTTATCATCATTGTTGTTGTCTCCAATGGGCATCATTTTGATTAGCTTTAACTAAGCTTGTAAGCTGGAGGTATTTAAAGAAATGTTTTTATCAAGATTGAATGTACACCTCATCTCATCAAAGGACGTCATGACATTTGAGTCTGCCAAATAAAGGTCTTGGATCATTTTGAGTCCCTTTGACTCCAATCATTGAAAGTTCCGTCTGCACAAAACAATGATCACCCCATACTGGACTGTATGGTGATAATGTATGTGGTTCTTTGAAATATTTTTCACATCATACGAGATCTTTATCATTTGCTTTACAATTGAATTTTGTGTTTGTTTGCTTAAATTTCTTACTGTATCTGAATACATAAAGGAAGAGGTAGATTCAGACTATGAGATTCCATTTCAGTCCAATGAGGAGCAGCCTTTGTAGAAACATAGAACATAATAGTTCTCAGCTGCACAGCCCAGTAATACCACATTACATTTGGACACTGTAACCCTCCTCCATCATATGGTAAATACAATAACGACAAACAAAGTCTTGCCCTCCTATTATTCCATATAAATTCAACCATTTTCAACACTTTTGTTATATCTCTCACAGGCTCCGCCCTCTACTGGACTCTATGGGTACTACCTTATCCTGCGTGCATTCTCCCACTGAGACTTCTATAGATGTAGCCGGCCCAGGGCGGGCCCACCTGAATGCACGCGCATCACACCGTATAAAAGGAGGCCTCGCCTCCTGACTATCATCTTTTTTCTCTTCAGCAGCGGAAGTGATTCCACGAGCTTCGAGACGTTAGGAAAAAATAAAGTAAAAGTGAGAGCATGGAGTCAGTACTTGACCTCAGGACCTGCCCGAAATGCCCGAATCTTATCGCAGGGGCTGATCCGCACCCCTTCTGCTTCACGTGTTTGGGGCCTGACCACGCGGTGGGTAATATGGGCCCGACGCTGGCATGCCCAGCCTGCCAGATGATCCCGTGGCTCATACGGGAGCATCGTGGGCAGCACTCCCTGGCGAGGGCTACCCCGCAGGAGGAGTCGGAGGATCGGGAGCTCGACGTGATTCTCTCTTCCATGGGACCAGGCGGGCTCGGTTCCGATGGAGGACGAGGAGGACGCCTCGCTGACCGGAGGTCCAGCTCTCAGGTCTGCGCGTGTCCACGGAGGGGCTCTTTGGGTCGGTCTCCTCGGTCACCCAGCGCTTCAGCCGCCTAGAGGAGGAGAGAGTCCAGCTTAGCCGCACGCTACCGCTGGCTCCTCCTCAGGCCCCGCTACGTGCCCCCCCTCGCGTTGCCATGCAGGGGAGGGAGCGTAGTGCGACAGTGAAGCGGAGGGAGAGGCGCCGGCACAGGGGTCCCGTAGCTGCGGCGCCCTCCACCTCTACGGCCCACCCCGTGGCACCGGCATACCGGCAGTCACGGGGAAGGGCTGCCCGACCGAGGCAGGCTCCGCAACAGCAGAGAGCACCCGGGTGGGGAGCTCCATCTTCGCGGAGTTGTCTAGCGGGGGGAGGTAGCGCCTCGGTGGGGGGGAGATCCTCTCTACCGGGGACGCAAGGGCGAATCCCGCCTCCTCCCTGTTTAATGCCCAGATCCCTGTCAAAACTTTTAATAATAAAGATGGTGTTGATCTGTATCCAAGTCTGAGTGTCCTTTGTTTCCACAATACACTTGCACATGTTGATGACTGTACAAATTCCCCACTCACCGCCCCAGCTATAGCTCCCGTTAGGGAGGAGGCTAGTGGGAGTGCGCAGATGAGAGTGATAAACCGCAGGCAGCACTGTTATAGTGCGGTGCAGGTACAGGGACATTATGGCGTTTTTCTGTTAGAAAACACTCTATGCCTGAAGCCAAGACTCCAAATAATGCTGTTTACCATAGTGATAGGGGCTGCATTATAGCAACGCCCGCACTTGTAAAAAGGCGCGTGGCGGTGCGTTCAGGGGCCTTAGTAAAAGCTCCGGTTAATGCTGTTTTCCATAGTGATGAAAATAGCATTATGATGGAGCGTACGCTCACACGTGAGCGTGCGGTGGTGCATTCAGGGTCCTCAATAGATAATCGGCCCTTTCTGTTTCGACCCCCCACGGGCAAATCTTCCCTTTACGGGGAGTTTTGCGGCGGAGCGGGTCATCAGAGAGTATCACAGCTTTATAGCTGCGGCCCCACAGCTGAGGGCTTGTCCATTAACACAATGTTATGGGGAATGGAAACTCAGCTGTGTACTGACAAGGTGGATGGACAGGACGCTGAAACTGGGTTATCTACTCCAGTTTTGCAGCATCCCACCTCCTTTTATGGGCATGCGAGAGGTAAATCTGTCTTCCCAGGAGGAGATGGTTTTCCTCTCAGCAGAGATTCAGGCTCTGGTGCAGAAACAGGCTGTATCTGTTGTGCATCCTCGGCACAGAGAGAAGGGTCTTTATTCCATGTATTTCCTGGTTCTCAAGAAAACAGGGGAATTCAGACCTATTCTAGATCTCCGCGGCCTGAATCGTCATATTTCCTGCAGGAAATTCCGCATGTTAACTGTGAAACAGTTACTAGGGCTTGTGCAGCCAGGCGATTGGTTCACCACCATCGACCTGAAAGACGCGTACTTTCATGTGGAAATTGTTCCAGAGCACAGAAAGTATCTTCGTTTTGCCTTCCAGGGAATAGCCTATGAGTACAACAGGCTGCCGTTCGGTTATTCCCTATCCCCACGCACATTCAGCAAATGTGTGGCCACAGCGCTTCAACCGCTGCGCGCACACGGCATGAGAGTTTTATTTTACCTAGACGACCTCATAGTCAGGGCTGGGTCCCGGGAACAGGCAATGTTTTGCACAGCACAGTTGATCACACACCTAACCAAATTAGGTTTTGCGATCAATTGGAAAAAGAGCACCCCCATACCTCGCCAACAGGCGTTGTATTTGGGAGTGGTGCTCGATGCAGACGCGCTGCGTGCCACCCTGTCAGAGAGCAGATGTGCGTCCCTTCTCAGGGCGGTGCACAGGCTGCGACAGGGGGCAACAGTGACAGCTTTAACTGTCATGCAGACTCTGGTCTCATGGCTGCTGCTCACATGGTGGTCCCGCTGGGGTTACTACATATGCGCCGCCTGCAGAAGTGGTTCCCCAGCCTGCGTTTGGACCCCAAGAGGCACAAACTCAGTGGAGGGCAACCTCCGGAGGGGGTCTCCACTGGGACGGGTGACCTCCTACATCACAGTGTTCACGGACGCGTCCAGAACAGGATGGGGAGGGACCTGCCTGAAGAGGGCTATAGGTGGGCGCTGGGCTCTGACAGAGTCTCGACACAGCAACCTCCTAGAGCTTACGGGCAGTAGTGTTGGTCCTCCGGCATTTCATGCCCCTAATTCAGGGGAGACATGTAATGGTCAGGTGCGACAACAGCACCACAGTGGCTTATATCAACAGGCAGGCCGGAGTCCGCTCCGCCTCCTTGTTGACCACAGCGGAGGAGCTGTGGTTATGGGCCTCAGAGGTGGTATTATCTCTGAGAGCCCTCCATGTCCCGGGACTGGAGAACAGGGGGGCCGACCTCATGTCGAGGGGCGGACCCCTGCCAGGCGAGTGGGTGCTTCACCCGGAGGTGGTGAAGCAGATCTGGGCCCAGTTTGGGAGAGCGGAAGTGGACCTGTTCGCCAGCCGGCGCAACAGCCACAGTGCCCTGTGGTTCTCCATGGCCCTGAGCGACGACCCGCCCTTGGGGGTGGACGCGTTTGCACACGAGCCATGGCCAAGGAAGCTGCTATACGCCTTTCCACCGCTGCGTCTCATTCTCCCTCTCCTGGGGAGAGTGAGGCGAGAACGTCTGGCAGTCATTCTTGTGGCACCGGATCGCGTCGGGGCTCCGTGGTACTCAGAAATGACACAGATGAAGGTGGGCCAGCCCTGGGCGATCCCCCAGTTCTGGGGGGCGATGTCTCAAGAGGCAGGTGCAATCGGGGCGTTACCCACTCTGGGCCGTCCTCTTCAGGCTTGGCTCCTGAGAGGGACAGGCTGAGACAGGGTGGATTGTCTGATAGTGTTATTCAGTCTATCCAGGCAGCTAGAGCAGAATCCACCACAGCCTGTTACAGGCCAAAGTGGCTGAGATTCCAGCATTGGTGTGAGGAGCGGGGAATAGAGCCCCTATCTTGTGAGTTGGGCTCTATTTTATCCTTCTTACAGTTACTGGTGGACAGAGGGCTGGCGCATTTCACAGTGAAAGTGTATGCAGCAGCCATCTCGTCCTGCCATGAGGGATTCAACGGCAGGTCAGCCTTTTCTCAGCCACTAATGTTGCGGTTTTTACAGGGGGTCAGGAGGCTGTGCCCAGTAGTGCACGCCTCCGCCCCACAGTGGGACCTGCCGCTGGTGCTCGAGGCTCTGGCCTCGGGACCATTTGAGCCTCTGGAGCGCTCCTCTCTGAAAGCATTGTCGTGAAAAACAGCTTTGCTTCTTGCCTTAACGTCAGCCAAAAGAGTGTCCGAGTTAACTGCTCTGTCGGTGCACCCGAGTTGTTTACTAATTCGGGGTGACCAGAGTGGCGCGACACTTAGACCGAACCCCTCCTTTGTGCCTAAAAAC